TTTACAGTAAAAATGTGATTAAAAAACCCTCCAGGTTTGCTGTATTTGTTTGTATCATAAATTTGTATTCATAATTTTGTATAAGTGTGTGTGTGTGTGTGTGTGTGTGTGTGTGTGTGTGAAATGAAACAAAAATAAATAAATTAAAAATTATTAAATTAAAATATTTTAAAATATCACATGAAATATTGATTATTAATTAATATATAAATAAATTCTTAATTAATATATCTATAAATAAATTAATTAATTAACAAATTATTATCAATTATTAATTATACATGTTTATTATATACACATATTAAAATAAGAAATACTGCTATTGTAATATTTTCCTGTAAAAATTAAGCATTTAAGAAAAATAATACAATAATAATAATTTTATTTTACAGTACAATTATAAAATTACAGTACTACTATTCAAGGCCATCTTAACTCTTTTTATTTTCAAACATTATACCATGAAGCTTTTATTTTGGTGGAAAATGCAAGGAGGCATTCTCTTTTATCGACAAAAGCATCTCAAAAGTTCATTAAGATGGTTGGTGCAAGTTGTCGTTCTCAAATGCGTGTTATAAGTGACCCAAACTCAGATAACATGCAGAGATGAGATTGTGTTTTACCCTGCAGGTGAGTTTTCTGGCCATGTGGACGATCTCTCCATTGTTGTCCATGACCTCGTATCCGCTGCTCTGGCTGGAGTTCTCGGAGGAATCGTCTCCTCCGGCCAAACGCTCGGGAACGACGCCGCTCACCCGCAGCAGCTCCACCTGCAGACGACCTGCCACCTGCCAACAGAGATCGAGACGAGACGAGAAGCGCCTCCAATGGTGAGTTCACACCAAACACAAATCTAATTTAATTTCTGTCATGACAACTCTCGGAGGGATTGGCATGGTAATGTACATGACAATGTTAATGTATTTGGTCTTGGCGGAATAGATCTGCTACGCTGCTGCTGCAGAGCAAGTACCGAGACTTGCTACTGCCAATACATCCACAACATGCTGCTGTGAGCATGTAAGAAATACTGCTGCTGCAAAT